TTTACTCTTCTTCATGTCTTTATTATGAACTTTGTCTCCAGTAGAGGACACTAGAGGACACTTTACTCTTCATGTCTTTGTTTATTCTCTCTGTTTCTTAGACTTGTTCCAGTCCTCAGTGTCGATCGTCTTCGTCCGTCTTTCAGTCCAAAGCAAAGTAAGACTTCTTCTTCTTCTGCTCATATGAGTGTGTTTCTGTGTACTTATACTCTGTAAGCAGCACGTTGATGTACTTGTGTGTACTTGTTTGATTGGTCAGGATTGTGATCGATGACGGCACCGGTGAGGCTCACCTGTGGTTCTCAGGTGCTCTTGTTCGTCCTCTGCTGGGATTGGCTGATTCTCAGTGGGAGGGGCTTCAGAGAGCGCTAAGGGTCAGAGGTCACGTCAGAGTCTACCCCCGGGGGCGGAGCCTGGTCAGTGACATCACAGCAGCTGTGGACCAATTACAGTGTGTCTGTGTGTCTCTCTCAGCTGTGTGTATTTACCTGTGTGTCTCTCTCAGGTGTGTGACTCTGGTGACCCTCTCCTCCACTTCCTGTTGTGTGTGTGCAGCAGTGATGTCGTGTGTCGTCAGCTCTCTCTCACCTGCAGAAAACAAAACAACCAGAGATCAGGAGGTATGAACATATAATCACTCTCACCTGGTCAACACCTGCAGACCGGCGGCCATGTTGACGAAGTTCATGTTCGTTTCAGAGATGAAGAGGTTCAGCAGAGGAGAACGAGACTTCATGACCAGAGTGACTCCTCCTCTACAGCTCACCTGTCTGCACCTGAACGCCGACTGATCTCACCTGTACACGTCAACGCACCCGTACACGTCAACGCACCCGTACACGTCAACGCACCTGTACACGACAACGCTGACTGACCTCACCTGTCTGCACACTGACCACAGGAAGAGGCGGAGACAGTTCACCTTACTTTGAATGTTTTCTCTCAGTTTTATAGAATGTGTTGATATTCTGTTTCGTTTGGTTTGACATGTTGATATAAGTTATTAAATATTCATTTATTTCTCCTGAAGTCTGTTTCAGCTTTTATTTCAATAGAATAGAATTATGTTTATTAATCGTCTGTAAGACCTTCATGTGTTGCTCTGGTTCCTCCACCAGAGGACGCTGTTTTCCATCAAACTGAGCTCAACTCAACAGACCAACTCATCTACAGAGAGTCTTAGCTCACAGGGCTATGCCTTGAGGCGTCCTTGAGGAGGTTCCTAAGGTGCTTGAGTGCTTGTAGGGGCCTTGGGGAGGTTTGGGAAGTCCTTGAGGAGGTTCCTAAGGTGCTTGAGGGTCTTGTAGGGGCCTTGGGGAGGTTTGGGAAGTCCTTGAGGATGTTCCTAAGGTACTGGAGGGTCTTGTAGGGGCCTTGGGGATGTTTGGGAAGTCCTTGAGGAGGTTCCTATGGTACTTGAGGGTCTTGTATGGCCCTTGGGGATGTTTGGGAAGTCCTTGAGGAGGTTCCTAAGGTGCTTGACAAGGTTCTATGGGTCCTTGAGAACACTGTTGGGCTGGCTGAAGAGGCTCCAAGGGTCTTTGAGGAAACTCTGGAGTTCCTTGAGGACAGTTTAAAGATAGCTGAGAAGGTTCTGATGCTCTGTGAGGATGTTTGAGAGGTCCTTGAGGAGGTTCTCAGGGTTTAGAATGAGTTGATCTCAGGTTCACCTGCTCAGGTAAGATGAGCTGCACCTTTGCTGAACTGAAGGCACCTTGATGAACCTGTAGGGGCGGCTGAGCTTCTCTCTCTCTCTCTGATGTTCAACACCAAACGTCTGCTCCTGGTAACTGATGACTCATCTGCAGCTCTGTTTCTGATTGGCTGCTGACTGAACAGGAATTGAAAGTAAGGAGTCGGGACTTTCCAGAGACGCTGCGTTCAGGTTTCTGAGGTTAAAGAAAGACGAGAAAACTAAACAAGAAGCTGCTGAACAGAGACGCTGCTGCTGAGTGTGATCACATGACTGCTGACTGTACAACACGCACACAGCCACACAGACACTTGATTAATGCTACAGCTAATAACTTATCTCCTCTCGTGTCGATAAAGTTATACAGCTCACTGTATCCTGCAGTGTGACAACACAAACAATAACACAAATTATACTTTATATTTTTTAAATAAGTTGCCCCCCCACAGGCACATTTTCTCCAAAATTCTCCAAATCACATTGAGAAAATGATGAAAAGAAACATTTATCAATAATGTTCACACAGGGATGCAAACTTAGAAAATTGACACATTTTACACAGCAGAATATACACATATTCACATAGAAATCATTTACATGGACGTCTTATGTCAATTTAAATAAATAAAAAGGTGACATCACAACTGTCCTCTCTGACAGCAACATGAACACATGAGAAGGATCTACTGGTTGTGTTGTTAGTGAAGGCTTTGTACAGGATGAGAGCTCATGTAACTGTAACCTTCAGTACAGGATGGTCACATGGAGATATTACAAATGGACTAATGTCTTAATTCAAAGCTACGGCTGCTGAATGTTTGTCCATCGCTCTCCCCTCAGCTCCTGCTCTCTGTAACAAAACAAGAACACAATCAGCAAAATACTCAAATTCAGTGTATTCGTGTAGTTCATCTCAACGTTTGAAACGTTACCGGACTTAAAGTGATATTTCAGGTTCACAACCTGTCTACCTGAGATCACGTTGGTCCGTTTATGTACATGATATGAAGTATAAATCATCTGTAAAATCATCACAAACTCAGTAAGATATGATTCAACCTCTGAGGTTTGAAAGTGAAGTTATTAAAAGTTACTTTACAAGGTTTACTACGGTCGGATGCAGGCAGCCGAGCTGCCGGAAATAGCGCACCGGCACGCAATGCATCTTGGGATATGCTGGGCCGCGAAGCATACATCAGATGTGTCCTCCAAATCTGGGACCAGAAGGCTGCATTCGTCGGCTGTATTGAAGGACTCTTCAACAGAAATGCGATATGGGACATTACTAGTCGCAGCGCTGTGACGCAACCGGTCTACGAATGCAGCCTCCGAAGGATGCAGACCCTGAATTGAGACACAGCTAGTGTGTCTCTCTCAGCTGTGTGTCTTTACCTGTGTGTCTCTCTCAGCTGTGTGTCTTTACCTGTGTGTCTAAGGGTTAGGGTTAACCCTAACCCTTAGACACACAGCAACACAGACACACACAGACAGCAACACAGACACACACACACACTTGATAAATGCTACAGCTAATAACTTATCTCCTCTCGTGTCGATAAAGTTATACAGCTCACTGTATCCTGCAGTGTGACAACACAAACAATAACACAAATAATAAGTCATCTTTGTTTACGCTGCACATTTCAAAATAAAGTAACGTACTGAATATGTTGACAGGAGAGAATGTATGATTAAAAAGTTAAATAAGAGGAAGATGGAGAAAGAGTCAAACGATCATAGACGTAGTCTCTACGTCACCCGGAGGTTTCTGAAGAGCTGCGACGTTCTCTTCATGTAGAGAACCGTTCTGTACGGAAGAGAACGTCACAGAGGAAGAGAACATCACGGGAGGAGAACGTCGCAGGGGAAGAGGACGTCGCAGAGGAGGAGAACGTCGCAGAGGAAGAGAACATCGCAGGGGAGGAGAACGTCGCAGGGGAAGAGAACGTCGCAGGGGAGGAGAACGTCGCAGGGGAAGAGGACGTCGCAGAGGAAGAGGAYGTCGCAGGGGAAGAGGACGTCGCAGGGGAGGAGAACGTYGCAGGGGAAGAGAACGTCGCAGGGGAGGAGAACGTCGCAGGGGAAGAGGACGTCGCAGGGGAAGAGGACGTCGCAGAGGAAGACGTCGCAGGGGAGGAGAACGTCGCAGGGGAAGAGAACGTCGCAGGGGAGGAGGACGTCGCAGGGGAGGAGAACGTCACAGGGGAGGAGGACGTCGCAGGGGAGGAGGACGTCGCAGGGGAAGAGGACGTCGCAGGGGAGGAGAACGTCGCAGGGGAAGAGAACGTCGCAGGGGAAGAGAACGTCGCAGGGGAAGAGAACGTCGCAGGGGAAGACGTCGCAGGGGAGGAGAACGTCGCAGGGGAGGAGAACGTCACAGGGGAAGAGAACGTCGCAGGGGAAGAGAACATCGCAGGGGAGGAGAACGTCGCAGAGGAAGAGGACGTCGCAGAGGAAGACGTCGCAGGGGAAGAGAATGTCGCAGAGGAAGAGGACGTCGCAGAGGAAGACGTCGCAGAGGAAGACGTCGCAGGGGAAGACGTCGCAGGGGAAGAGATTGTCGCAGGGGAAGAGATTGTCGCAGGGGAAGAGAATGTCACAGAGGAAGAGGACGTCGCAGAGGAAGAGAATGTCACAGAGGAAGAGGACGTCGCAGAGGAGAACGTCGCAGTGGAAGAGAATGTCGCAGGGGAAGAGAATGTCGCAGGAGAAGAGAATGTCGCAGGGGAAGAGAATGTCGCAGGGGAAGAGAACGTCACAGAGGAAGAGAACGTCAGAGGAGGAGAACGTCGCAGGGGAGGAGAACGTCACAGAGGAAGAGAACTCGTCACTGAACAAACTAGAACATTCAGTGGATCTTGAACAGTCCAGGATGTCCAGCGGAGGGTTCACTGAGTCTGGTGGACGGAGGCCTAACTCTGGTCTGGACTCAAGTCTTCTCACTTCTTGGTCTCACTTTGAGTCTGAGCTGCTCTCCTCTGCTGCTTCACCTGGTAACTGATGACTCACCAGCAGCTCTCTCTCTGATTGGCTGCTGACTTGGAAGTGAAAGTAAAGAATGGGACTTTCCACAGATGCTGCTGCGTTCAGGTGCTGCAGGAAACGCCAGACTCCTCATGCTAAGTGACCATTCCAGCTGAGCCTCAGAGGGGAACTCCTGGCTGTACGGAGACGCCTGAAGGCATCGTGTGGTCTGACTGGTTCCACTGGTTCCACTGGTTCCAGAGAACGAGGGAACTCAAACTGTCTCACTTCATCAAACGAAATGTTTTCACCTTAAATCAGAGAAGAAGAAGAAGAAGAGTCATGTTTCAGAGCTTCTGTTTCATCATCAGGTTCATAAAAACACTCTTTAATCTTCATTTCATCCTGAAAGGCTGCAGCAGAATAAACACATCGTGTGATAAGTTAGTGAAGTTATGAATTAAAATATAAAATATTAAAGTTATTTCAGTTAAACACGAGGATTTAAAAACTCAAATATTTTTACCTTTTGAGGTATTTTATTTAAATTACTTTGTTGCAGAAAACAAAAGATGAATCTTAAATGTTTAATGTTTTACCTCTGGTCACATGACCTCATTGATCACATGACCTCAGTGATGAGTTCAATGATTAATGAACATCTGGACGTCTGTCTGCAGGACTCTGTTGTCATAAATATAAAACGAGTATTTAATGAATGAAAGAGAACTTGATGACGACTCTTCAGCTGTGATTCAGATCTAAAAGAAGCTGAGAGGAGAGACGAGCTCATCACGAGTTTTAAAAATCAATCTTTATTGTGAAACTCTTGAAACACGAAGCTGTGAGGCAGCAGGTTAATATCTTTAAATCAATCTGTTGATATGTTCCACTTTGTAAATAATATATTTTAATCGATCTTCATCTTCTGTATTAATTTATCAAAAATATTCATCCAGTAAAATATTAATGTTGAAGATGAAACTTTAGTCTGAATTTAAAGACTTTATTTTGAAAAGCCTGTATGAACACAGTACTGGTGACTGATTGAGTCGTCCTGTCTGTTTGTTAAAGTTCATGAGAGCAGCAGCCTTCTCTACCTGGACACTGATGGCATCACACCATCTCTGCTTTCTCATTGGCTCGTTGTGTGAAAGAGCTCAGCTGCTGCTGGAGTTTCTGTCAGTCCTCCTCAGACCGGTTCAGGGTTTACAGGGTCTCAGACGGGTTCAGGGTCTCAGTCGGGTTCAGGTCTACAGAGTCTCAGACGGGTTCAGGTCTACAGGGAGCTGATGAAGATGATGAAGATGATGGTGGTCCTCGTCCTCTCTGGTGTCCTCTGGGTCTCAGCTGACGGTAAGTTTCATGTTTCAGTTCAGTTTAAACCTCTGATGGTTCAAACAAACAAACAAACAAACAAACAGTCAGTTTGTTTACTAACAGACTTTGTTTACTAACAGACTTTATTTACTAACAGTCTGAACAACAACAAACAAACAGTCTTCAGCTGAACTTTGTTTTCTCTTCAGTTCTTCATGAGGACAGTCATCTTGTTGGCTGTTCAGACTCTGGTGGAGAGGACATGTACGGTCTGGATGGTGAAGAGGTTTGGTACGCAGACTTCAAACACAACAAAGGAGTCGAGCCTCAGCCTCCTTTTGTAGATCCCATGACCTACCCAGGAGGTTATGAACAAGCTGTGGCTAATCTAGAGATCTGCAAACAGAACCTGAAAGTAGCACGTCAAGCCTACAAGGAGTTCCCACTGGAGAAAGGTAAAGACAAACACTTATATATATATATATATATTATTATATTATTATTTTTAATGTGTCTTCATCTGTTTAAACTGTTAACATCTTACTGTTGTAAATAAAATATACTTCATGTTACATTAAAGTATAAAACAGCAGCATCATGAAATCATTTTATGTTGTTTACTTTAATGTGTTTGTTCAGTTATCTGATGTTTGTTTTATTTTGTATTTACACTTTAAACCAAACGTATATTTTAGATATTTATTGTTGATTAAAGGACAAACAGCCAGAGTTCCTCTAAACAACAACTAAAGTCTCTCAGAACAACTTCAACAAGGTTCTTAAAATACACTGTTCTCATCAGTTTGTTTACTAACAGTCTGAACAACAAACAAACATGAGAACACGAGAACATGAGCCATCAGAACAAGAAACATTAGAACATGAGAACATTTAGAACCTGAGAATAATCAATCTAACGATTCATCTCATGAGAACATTTTCATAAGAGTGTGTTCTGTTCAGATCCTCCTTCCAGTCACATGATCTACACCAGAGACAAAGTGGAACCAGGACAGAAGAACTCCCTCATCTGTCATGTGACTGGTTTCTATCCTGCTCCTGTGGAGTTCTCCTGGACCAAGAACGAGGAGAACGTCACTGAAGGAAGCAGCACCAACGTTCCCTTCGTCAACAAGGACGGAACCTTCAACCAGTTCTCCACCCTGGAGTTCACCCCACAGCTGGGAGACATCTACGGCTGTACGGTGAAACATCTGGCCCTGGACCAGCCACAGACCAAGTTCTATGGTGAGAACCTTATTAACATCTGCACAACAAACAAACAGCTCAGTTCTCCAGATGTGGAGGTGAAGCTTAATGTCTGTGTGTTCTGTCTCCAGATGTGGAGGTGAAGCTTAATGTCTGTTTTCTGTCTCCAGATGTGGAGGTGAAGCTTAATGTCTGTGTGTTCTGTCTCCAGATGTGGAGGTGAAGCTTAATGTCTGTTTTATGTCTCCAGATGTGGAGGTGAAGCTTAATGTCTGTGTGTTCTGTCTCCAGATGTGGAGGTGAAGCTTAATGTCTGTGTGTTCTGTCTCCAGATGTGGAGGTGAAGCTTAATGTCTGTTTTCTGTCTCCAGATGTGGAGGTGAAGCTTAATGTCTGTTTTATGTCTCCAGATGTGGAGGTGAAGCTTAATGTCTGTTTTCTGTCTCCAGATGTGGAGGTGAAGCTTAATGTCTGTTTTCTGTCTTCAGATGTGGAGGTGAAGCTTAATGTCTCTGTGTGTTCTGTCTCCAGATGTGGAGATGAAGCTTAATGTCTCTGTGTTTTATGTCTCCAGATGTGGAGGTGAAGCTTAATGTCTCTGTGTTTTATGTCTCCAGATGTGGAGGTGAAGCTTAATGTCTCTGTGTTTTCTGTCTCCAGATGTGGAGATGAAGCTTAATGTCTGTTTTCTGTCTCCAGATGTGGAGATGAAGCTTAATGTCTCTGTGTTTTCTGTCTCCAGATGTGGAGGTGAAGCTTAATGTCTCTCTTTCTGTCTCCAGATGTGCAGCAGACTCAGCCCAGCAGTGGTCCTGCGGTCTTCTGTGGAGTCGGTCTGACTGTCGGTCTGCTCGGTGTCGCTGCTGGAACCTTCTTCCTCATCAAAGGAAACGAGTGCAGCTGATTGATTAATGATCAACTCGTCTTCATCATCTAATCGACTCGTCTTCATCATCTAATCGTCTCGTCTTCATCATCTGATCGACTCGTCTTCATCATCTGATCGTCTCGTCTTCATCATCTTATCGACTCGTCTTCATCATCTGATCCTCTCGTCTTCATCATCTAATCCAGTTTAATTAATGTTATTTCTGTTTCTCATCTTATTGTTGTATGAATCTTAGTTATCAGCGTGCTCTTATTTTGAAATAAAGGTAACATCTGCAGAGATATAACCGTGTCTATCATTGATGTATGTATATATATAAATGTATACATATACATACAGTGCCTTGCATAAGTATTCACCCTCCTTGAATGTTTCATCCTTTTGTTGCTTTCATACATGAAATCATGGTCGATATAATTTGGCTTTTTTGACAAGAATTTGCAAAAAAAAACTTTAATATCAAAGTGAAAACAGATTTTTACAAAATAATGTCAATTAATTATAAATATATAAGGTAAAGTAAAGATTGCATAAGTATTCAACCCCTTCAGGTCAGTATTTAGTGAATGCACCTTTGGCTGCAATCACAGCACTGAGTGTGTGTGTGTGTGTGTGTGTGTGTGAGAGTGAATGTGTCTCACTGAGTGTGTGTGTGTGTGGATGTGTCTCACTGAGTGTGTGAGTGTGTGTGTGTGTGTGTGTGTGTGGACGTGTCTCACTGAGTGTGTGTGTGTGTGTGTGTGTGTGTGTGTGTGTGAGTGGATGTGTCTCACTGAGTGTGTGAGTGTGTGTGTGTGAGTGTGTGCGTGTGTGTGTGTGTGTGTGTGTGTGTGAGTGGATGTGTCTCACTGAGTGTGTGTGTGTGTGTGTGTGTGTGTCACTCAGGCTGGCATATCTGGACACTAAGATGTTTCTCCATTCTTCTTCTTCTAATCAGCTCCAGCTCTGTCAGGTTGCTCAGGGATCGGGCGTGAACAGCTCTTCTCAAGTCCAGCCACAGATCCTGGATCGGATTGAGGTCTGGGCTTTGACTTGGCCACTCCAGAACCTTCACCTTGTGGTCTTTGAACCATTCTGTGGAGCTTTTGCTGCACAGAATGGGGTCGTTGTCTTGCTGGAGAATAAATCTTCTCCCAAGTCGTAGTTCTCTTGCAGACCGAGTCAGATTATCCTCCAGGATTTGTGGATATCTTTCTGCATTCATGTTCCCCTCTACCTTTACAAGCCTTCCAGGGCCTGCTGCTGAGAAGCATCCACAGAGCATGATGCTGCCACCACCATGCTTCACGGTGGAGATGGTGTGTTTGTGGTGATGTGCAGTGGTTGGTGTTCACCAAACATGGCGTCTAGTCTGATGGCCAAAAAGCTCAATGTTTGTCTCATCAGACCAAAGAACCTTCTTCCAGTTGACCTTGGAGTCTCACACATGCCTTTGGGTGAATTATTTCTAGTGTCTTTCTCTTTGCCACTCTCCCATACAGCTTCGACTGGTGAAGAATCCGGGCAACAGTTGCTGTATGTACAGTCTCTCCCATCTGAGCCACTGAAGCTTTGAACTCCTTCAGAGTGGTCCTAGGTGTCTTGGTGGCCTCCCTCATCAGTCCTCTTCTTGCCCGGTCACTCAGTTTGTGAGGACGGCCAGCTCTAGGAGATTTATACAAGTGCCATACTCCTTCCATGTCTTAATGATGGACTGAACTGAACTCTGTGGGAGGTCCAGTGAGGTGGAAATATTTGTGTAGCATCTCCTGACTTGTACTTCTCAATGATCTTTTCTCTGAGTTGCTTGGAGTGTTCTTTTGTCTTCATGTTGTAGTTGTAGCAGGAACACTGATGAACCAGAGACTGGACCTCCCAGACACACGTGTGTTTATACTACAATCACTGACACACATCAAATGCACTCAGGTGATCTCATCTCACTACGTGCGACACTGCTGGCATCAACTAGCTGGACTTCTGTTGAGTTAGGTCAGTCACTTTAAAGGGGTGAATATTTATGCAATCATTTACTTTACCTTATATATTTTTAATTAATTGACATTAGTTTGTAAAAATCTGTTTTCATTTTGACATGAAATTAGCTTTTTTGCAAATTCTTGACAAAAAAGCCAAATTATACTGACCATGATTTAATGTATAAAAGCAACAAAAGGGGAAAACATCCAAGGGGGGTGACTACTTATGCAAGACACTGTATGTACCTTTCTGATATAACTTGCTAATCTAACACTTTTGTACCTAAGTAGTTATTTGGATGAGTACTTCTACTTTTGTGTCTTTTTACAAAGTAACAGTACTTTTCCTTGAATACATTTTGTGGCTCCACCCACTTCTGCTGATTCCTGACTTCTTCTTCTGTTGTTTCTTTTATTGTCAATAAACGTGCTTCTGTGTCACTTTAACTCTCATTTGATCCGTAACAGTCAAGACTCTTCATGTTAACGACACGATTCATAATCACGACCAATTCATATTAATAATAATAATAATAATAACCCTAACCCATTAGTTATAACTAATAAAGCCTTAGTAAAGGTAAGGGTACATTAAACTGTAGTTTGTGTTTTTATGAGTAAAGACTTCAGAGCTTCAGTTAATCAGTTAATCTGTAATTATAAAATAAACGTTTTTACCTAAATGTTCTTTTTCTTTATTATTATTATTTATTATCGAGGGAAGAAAATAAATTCATATAAGTTTGTTTGATGTGAGATAAATATAGTATTAATTGTTGCATCAGGATGTCTAGTGCTGATTATTATTATTATATATTATTATTATGATTATTATGAGGATAAGAATCTGAATGGAGTGCGTTATAATACATTATAACTGAGTCTGTGTTCACAAACACAAACAACAACAATGATGACAATAAATAATTCATAAAGTTTCACAAACAGCTTGATGTTAATTATTGTTTTATCGAAGATTAATGTTTTCATCTATAAATATTAAATAACTTCTAATAGTTTTTACTTTTCTGGTTTTTGCTTCATTTCACTGTTTTGTTTCTGTAAAAAACATAATTTTAGAAACAAGTTGAAGCCACTGAACAATAAATTATATATATATATATATATGATAAATATCTAATAATAAATGTTAAGGATTAATGATAAATGACTGGATCCTATTCTCACAGATTATCTGATGAATTGATCATAAATGACGACACATCTACATGAAGACAGGTTTAGAAATACAACAATAATATTTAACTGTAAGACACATAATAATGATAATAATAATACTAGTTATAATAATATTGATATGAATTATATTTATATGAATAATAATATGTATATGAATATTTATAACATGTATAATATATTTATAATACTATTTATAATATATTTATACTAATATTTATACTAATATTTATACTAATATTTATAACACTATTCATACTAATAATATTTCTCTCAACGTGTCTGACAGAGAGTTTGAGCTCCAGCAGCAGACTTTGGTCTGACTTGTCTGCCTGGTAACAGGTGATGATGATGATGAAACAGGTCATGTGACTCGTGCTCTGCTCTTAACAGCAGCTCTCAGTCACACTTTGTCAGAGTTTGTTGGTGAACAGAAGAACATGGCTTCATCCTTCCTCAGCGTGTTCCTCCTCTTCATCGGCCTCCACGCAGCAGGTAGGATCAATACTCTGATCAATACTCTGATTACTCATCAATACTCTGATTACTAAATACTCTGATCAATAATCAATACTACTGTATTTCTCAGTGAGGTTGTGTTTCTTCTTCAGGTGGATTCATGGAGTTTGTAATGGACCGTTGTGTCTTTAACTCCACTGATCTGAAGAACATCGAGTACATCAGGTCTTATTATTACAACAAGTTAGAAGACATCAAGTTCAGCAGCAGTGTGGGGAGGTATGTTGGATTCACTGAGCACGGAGTGAAGAACGCTGAGAACTGGAACAAGGACCCTTCAGAACTGGGTAGGATGAGGGCTGAGAAGGAGAGGTACTGTCTACACAACATTAAGATCTGGTACGACAACGCTCTGACTAAGTCAGGTGAGTTTGACTTTGTGTGACATCATTAATATTATTATTATTATTATTATGATTTTTTTAACTATTATAATCATTACTATAATAATTTAATTTTCACACAGAATATTTTAACTCTATTTAAATGAAGTTGTTTAAACGTGAAATCATTTATAACTTCAGACTAGAGTCTCTGTCACCACCTGGTGGTGAAGCTCTGCTACTACACCTGATACTAACATTAATACTTTAATGATGTATTTTCTTCATCACCTCATTAAACTTATTTAATCACTCAGAATCACATCAACATGTTCTGTAACTCTGATGAAGATATTTTATACAAACGTAGTCATTTAACTTTGAATGTAAAAAAACCGAATATTAATCAGTGATTTATTAAAACAACAGACATTATACCAGTGACGTGCGGTGAGGTTCGTGGCTGGTGAAGCACTGACTCTTTAAGAGTCAGATTTACAAATATATGAACCCAATAGAGCAGCTTAAATCACCATTCAATTGGCAGCTTGCACATTGTCTGCTGGTTGTTTTTCATATTTATAACAAGCAAGAACGTTCAATTTATAGCGGCTCAGAGAAAGAGCGCATTTCCTCTGCACCCTCCGTGCGCTTTTAATTTGCCATCACAATTCCACAATTCATACTCATTCAATACAAATAAAAAATAGGTTACTGCAGCGTGCATGGTCTTACCTTTACTTGTAAATGAAGTCCATTCGTCTATCCTTCTGGACAAAACTCTCCGTGACTTTGTTGTAAAAGTCCTTATCTTCTTTCAGTTTTAGAAGTCTCTCCGTCTCAATGGAGATCATTGCCAGGGATGAAAGTCGTCCTTGGTCAGTCCGATTCCGACTGTATGTCTTGAGTCTTTTCAAAGCAGAGAATGACCTTTCCACAGACGCTGTTGTAGCCGGTCTAGTGAGCACCAGCTGGAGTAACTGTGTTGCCTCAGGAACAGTCTGCACCAGATCCTTCTGGACAAAAAGCTGAGAAGCTGTCCAGGGGATTTACATCCATCCCTCACTGTTTGTGAGCTATACAGTCCGATGAGATCAGCCTTTAGTCTCACAGTCAAAGAACCTGGCATATTTTGACAGGCTCTGCAGTTTGGTGTCATCAACATGTTGTGACATTTCATTAAATGTTGTACAATCGACCAAACCAAGGAAAGCTAGCTCACCAAAACGATCAAACCTAGCTTTCAGTTGAACACTGGCATTGTCCAGAATGTTATAAAACATTAGTTTCCTCTCATCTCTGACTGAGGTTTGACTTCAGACTCTATCTGTCGTCCCGAGCGTGACGCATTTCTGCTCAAATGGCTGATAGAAACTGTTAAACTCTTGTCTCTGGCGTTCCACAAATCCAATTGTGTCGCGGATTCGTGCACAACAAAATCCAATGTCCATTACTTTGTTTTGCAGCACTCTGAAGATTGCATCGGTTGCACTGAAAATGTCCTCATATGCCATCATGAAAAAGCACGTTGATGCCTTTGACAGCCACCGCTCATTATCCCGTCATTATCCCAACTGGATTTTCTCTCATAATACGGAATGCATCACGCAGATCAGATTGGTACATGCTTATTGTCTGCAACAGTCTTGAATTTGAGCTCCATCTCGTGGGTGCTGCTCTTGGTAAACGTCGCTTCACACCATCATCCAATAAGTGGGTGCGCTTCGTGGACTTACTGAAAAATGCCGCTAGTCCCTCAACTGTTTTAAAAACGTTCTACACTCAGGCACGCATTTTGCTGAATGCAAGAGCACCAGGTTCAATTTGTGTGCGTCACAGTGAGTAAACATGGCCTCAGGCACCTTTTCTTTAATCCTGGCCTGCACCCCATTACTCTGATGACATCACAGCTGCTCCGTCATAAATCTGAGCTACCAGCTTTTCGACACACTTGTATTTCTCCAACACTCCCAAGACATACTCGGCTATAGCAGGGGCTCGTCTGTCATCACTCACATCATCAAATCCCAAAAACGCCTCCCTCAGTTCACAGGCCACCTCACTTTTAACCACTTAACGCAAAATGACAGAGATCTGGGCTTTGCTTGTGACATCCGTTGTCTCGTCTACTTCTACAGCAACAAATGAGGCTGCATTAATCTCCTCATTTCTAATCACCTCACCGACTGCTTCGATTAAATGGTTCTGTATTCTGTTTGATAAGCCAGAAAACACAGTGGATGTCTCCAAATGTCTAGCTAATCTTTCATCTTTCTCAGCAAATACATGTACTAGTTCTACATAGTAGCCACGATTAGAAGAGCTTGAACTCTCCAGTTCCTGTTTGGCTAGGAAGCAGGTTGCATTAATGAGGTCTTTTAAAATCTCTCGGTTGTCCTTTACCTTAGCATTGTGGATGCTAATATTTAGTATCTGCTGTTCGTTCAAAGCCAAATCTATTCTCGAGGTTCCAAAAGTTTTCAAAGCAATTTGGCTTTGAATGTGAGTAGTTGATCTTTCATGTTTGCTGAGGCTTCTTGGAAGATTTTTCAAGTCACAAAATCCTGATTTAGTCCAGACATTGTCACACGTTGAGAACAGAAGACAGGGAAAGCAGTAAAGGCGGTTTCTTGTAGCACAGCCACACAGCCAGTCTTTTCGATCGTACCACTCCGTTTGAAAAGAGCGAGTCATCTTCTGTCCCGTCGTTTGAAGCAACTCTTTTAGCTCCGGTATTGGTCTCCACGTTTCGATTGAAAGTCCAGTTTTGAAAAATGTTTAAGCTTAGCTATAGATTCTTCCATTATTGCGGTCAAAGCTAAATATACGAAGAAGAAGAGAAGTGTAGAAGAAGAGTAACGGAACTACGAGCATAAACCCGACCCGTGGGCTCTCGCACGCCCCCTTCAGTGAGGCAGAGGTACTGTGTGCCTCCCCTCTGTGCTGTTTCACTGCGGCTTCTGTCAGATCAGCAAGACTAAATATGTTCTACACATACGTGAAATACATGACCTGTTCTATGGAAAGAAAGGACATATAATACAAGTGTCAACAAATATTACAGTGGTGACAAACAATGAGAAAGCAAAAGCCGCGCGCTCAACCCAGTTTGTTAGGGATTGCGCAATCTGAGGTGAGGCAGATCTCATCGCTGCCTCACCTTGCGTGTTAAACAGGAAATGCGCAAATTCAGCGATTTTGATTACAAAAATGCTTGAAATGATGGGAATCATACAGAAATTACATTTATAGCACAGATCAGTAGATAAATATTAATTTTTATTTTATTTTATCATTATTTGTTTTTTACTTTTCATGATGGCAGGTGATATATACATATATATACATATATAAGAATATAATATAATTATATTATATTATATAAAATGTAACAGAGGAAACAGTTTAAATTCAAGGATTCTTTATGACATTATCCAGCAGAAGCTCATTCCTCTCGTGCCTCTTTAATTTCTTATTATTTGTGTGAGCTGATATGATTCATGTATCAATACTCACATCATCATAACAATGTGTTTCAGCTCAGCCCTACGTGTTTCTGAGCAGCGCGACGCCCTCTGGTGGTAAACACTCGTCCATGCTGGTCTGCAGCGTCTTCGACTTCTACCCCCAGAACATCAAGGTGAGCTGGATCAGAGACGGACAGCCAGAGACCGCCGGGGTCACTTCTACCGATGAGCTGGCAGACGGTGATTGGTACTACCAGACCCACTCTCACCTGGAGTACACGCCCAGGTGAGTCCACCTCCACCTCCAGGTCGACGTCCAGGTCCAGTTAGGTCCAGTTAGCTTCAAGTTCAGTTAGATCCAGGTCCAGCTCCAGGTCCAGGTCCAGGACCAGTTATCTTCAGGTTGAATTAGGTCCAGGTTCAGGTGCAGGTTAAGGTTCAGTTAGATCCAGGTCCAGGTCCAGTGTGTCAGAAACCCTGAAGTGTTGGTTTGTGTGTCAGCAGGTCTGGAGAGAAGATCTCCTGTGTGGTGGAGCACATCAGCCTGAGTAAACCTCTGGTTACCGACTGGGGTAAATACCTGTCTGTCTGCACACCTGCTCACCTGTCTACCTGCCTCTTAACCCGTCTCTCTGCTAACCCGTCTCTATGTCTGTCCTCAGACCCGTCCATGCCCGAGCCTGAGAGAAACAAGATCGCCATCGGAGCCTCAGGACTGATCCTGGGTCTGACCTTATCTCTGGCTGGATTCATCTACTACAAGAGGAAGGCCCGAGGTCAGAACAGGGCTCACTTTAGTTCAGTGATGGTTTACTTTAGTCCAGACTAAGAGGAGTGGTAGACCAGGTCCATCAGAGTCTGGAACTAGTTTATTGTGTTGCTTCAGACCAGTTCAGTCTAGTTTGAATGATGAGGTATCTGGATTTGAGGTTGACCCCGTCCCCTTCTGTTCTTTCTTTGAACCAGGACGGATTCTGGTTCCCAGTAACTGAGCCTGGTCCTGGTCTTGGTCTTGGTTCTGGTCCTGCTGTTTGTCAGATGGAAGGAAAAGCAGCAGCTGCTTCAACCCGCTTCGTGTTTTCAGCCGAGCACACTGTGAGTGCTGCCACCTGCTGGACTGGATCAACACCTGATTCTCTCTTGATCTGGACTCTGATACTCAGCTGGTCTAACCCTGATGCAGGACTGGACAGTGCTGGATCAGGGTTAGTCTGGACTCTGGTGTATCACAGCTGGATGTGAACTCTGCTTCGTCTACATGTGATTTGATGCTCTACTCTGTGAAATATATATATATATATATATATATATATATATATATATATATAATATTTCACAGACACTTATATCCACAAACTGACTCAATAACTGCTTTGAAATCAGATATAATCAAGTTATTTGAATGATTTGGGGCTCGTAGGTTGTGTGATTGTTAGATTTATATATTTTTACTGAAGTGAAACATTTTCTAACAACAATAAACTTCAGAAAACTGTGACTCAGTGTGGATTTATTGATCAAATGTAAATACAGAGGAAGTATCTCATCTCGTCATATATGACGTTATAAATATATGATGTTATAAATACATGATGTTATAAATATATGTTATAAATACATGATGTTATAAATATATGATGTTATAAATATATGAATATTAATCAATGATTAGGATCACAGCGTGTAGAGATGATGATTCACAAAGTCTTTAACAACATCAGACAAAATAACTCTGACTAACTGCATGAAACACCAGCGGGTTTATTAGTACTGCATCTAAGTACAATGTTGAGGTACTTGTACTTTACTTGAGTATTTCACTTCACTACAACTGACAGCTGTTACTTTATTTACTTATTTTAAGATTTTACATTAAAAACATAAAACTAAACATAATTTCACTAGATTAACTAAAAGTATAAAATAATAAAGAGAGAGATGTGTGTTTCTTCTTCTCTTCCATTAATCATCTCAGGACCCTCAGATGTATCTGGTGACCCTCTGGAGGGGTCCGACCCCGAGGTTAGGAACCTCTGGACCAAAGTACAGAACTTCATCAGCTCCAGTGACCACGACCTGTGTACTGATCATCATATTAACATTATATACATATATATATATATATAATATGTATGCATGTATGTATATGTATATATATATATATATAATACTCGTGCTGCTGATCGCAGGACTGAATGTTTTGGTCTCTGTTATAAGTTTATTATTAATGTTCTGATAATTCCTCTCTTTCACTCTGCACCTGAAGTGAACATTTGAGTATATTAATGAGTGTATTAATACTTTTACTGTTATAGTTGTGCTGTAGAAACATTGGAGTACTTCCTCTACCTCTACATGTACCAACGTTCCCAGTCAGACAAAAGGATTAAAGGACCCTGAAGCTCCGCCCCCTGCTGCTGCACAGAGCTCCGTTCACTTGTTTGTTCTAATATTTAACGATATTTACGTCCAAATTCACCCAAAGTCAACGCTGCTCTCCCTCTGGTCCTCATGGAAACACCCACCGAGTGTGAAGCAGATCAGAGGAACGGTTCTCCAGACATGTGAGGAACAAACAGACCATCAGTTAGATACCATTTTCACAATAAGAGCCTTTGATACTTCACTGTTTCCCACACATTGACTTTATTTGGGCGGGCACCAAGTACATTAACGGTGTAAGTATATATCGGAGACTCATGTTCTATATTTCTTTAGGGCTACTGACGGTCAAAGGTATCACAGGAACACGTTTACATGATATTACCTCATTAAACAGTAGATATGCAGATGAAGAGCTGCTCCTGATGCTCTACACTGTGAATATAGAAACGTTCTCCTTTAGAACTGTACCTGGTGATCGGCTGAAGAACACAGATATCACGAGATGACAATATCAGAGAACCAGAGCAGTAATGAAGGTTCTACACCTGTAGGAGGCAGAATGCACCAAACTGTTACAAGTCTGCTGGAGGAGAGGAGGAGGAGGAGAAGAAGGAGAGGAAGAAGAAGAAGAAGAAGAAGAAGAAGAAGACAGTCTCTCTCAGATGAATATCTGCTTCGTTTGCAATTACAGCTGAACACACTTAAGTAAAACTATCAATACACAGCTGCGATGAATTACATGAATTGTGAACACACAACCTGAAATACACAGCCTAACAAACTACTGCGTACACCCTTTATCTTTATATAAACTTACATGGAACAATACAATCGCGAATATCCTCGTTTAGCTAATGATGCTAGTCTTAGTTAGCTACCTTATGTATCAGCATTAAACATAAAAACATGGCACCGCAAAAGAGAGCGAACTTAACATAAATATATATTGCGCTTGTGTACTTCTCTCACCTGTGAATACAACAAGGAGACAGTCTCCGATGAATTTCTGCGGTCTCGACTGTCCTTCCTTACGGCTGCTCATCTTAGTCAAGAATTACAGCGCCAGTCATACCAAGACCCGCCACTGCCCCCTAGTGGCGAAAATGAGTATCGCCCTGCAGCTACTTTAGGTGAAAGTAGGCGAGTTTAAAAGTCACACAAAGCGTGTTCAATTATAATAACCAGAAAATAATAGTGAGGGGATAAGGTAACGCCACAAACTAATACAATAACAATTCTGCAAATAATTGTATCCATTAAAATGTCCAGGGTGCCACACTATTGATTCTAGAGCTCATCAATAAAGTGGGTTAACTTCAGATATCATATTGATCCGACTGTAATTTTTGTTTGATAGACATTTTTCACTCAGCTGCTAATGCTAGCATACTCTGTAACGCTAGCATACTCTGCTAACACTAGCATACTCGGCTAACACTAGCATACTCGGCTGACGCTAACACACTCTGCTAACACTAGCATACTCTGCTAACACTAGCATACTCTGCTAATACTATCATACTCTGCTAACACTAGCATACTCGGCTGACGCCAACATACTCTGCTAACACTAGCATACTCTGCTGACCTAACGCTAACATACTCGGCTGACGCCAACATACTCGGCTGACACCAACATACTCTGCTAACGCTAACATACTCTGCTAACACTAGCATACTCTGCTAACGCTAACATACTCTGCTAACGCCAGCATACTCTGCTATAACACGTTGAAGTAGGCACATGCTGTGTGCTGCTCTGTGTCTGGCTAATGTCTGGCGAGGTAAAGTTGTGATGAGTCTGTTCACAGGAAGCTAATCTAAAGTTAGCTTGTAGTTGTGCTAACGTTAGCCTGATTGTCATCTTAGTAACGTGTGTGTTAAGTCTTCAAGGCTCGATTGGTTGGTTTATGTAACGATGTTAGATAATGATGTCTCCATGTCAGTTCTGTTTGATATTGTATAATATATATTAAATAGCGGTTTCCTTTGACCGCCTGTATGTCGGCTCATTGTATTAAAGAGGTTAACAGTCGTAGTCTTGAGGCATCGCTGAAATAATCGATGTAAAGCAGAAGCTTCATGTGAGGATTCAGATGCTCCATCTGATGAAGTATTAAACAGGAAACACAACGAGAGCTGTATGGTCTGTATGTTTCTTACGGTGTAACGTAGGTTCATGACTTACTAACCGTCCACATGTCCTTTCTCTGGTAGATAACACACATGAAGAATAATCTGCTTTATCGTGGAAACTGTACAACATCCATCCATCCATCCATTTTCCTCCTCTTATCCGGGGTCGGGTCGTGGTGGCAGCAGGCCAAGCAGGCTGATCTAGACTTCCCTCTCACCGGCAACATGTTCGAGCTCATTCTGGGAGATCCCGAGGCGTTCCCAGGCCAGCTGGCAGATGTAATCCCTCCAGTGTGTTCTGGGTCTTCCCCGGGGTCTCTTCCCAGTTGGACGTGCCTGGAAAACCTCCAGTGGGAGGCGTCCAGGAGGCATCCTAATTAGATGCCCGAACCACCTCAGCACCCGTACAACATAAAACATTTTTATAGTAAGATGCAAGAAGAGCCCAGAGGAGGAGCCCAATAACGAAGAGCCCAAAGGGAAGGAGCCCGATAACGAAGAGCCCGAAGGGAAGGAGCCCGATAACGAAGAGCCCGAAGGGAAGGAGCCCGATAACGAAGAGCCCGAAGGGAAGAAGCCCGATAACGAAGAGCCCAAAGGGAAGGAGCCCGATAACGAAGAGCCCAAAGGGAAGAAGCCCGATAACGAAGAGCCAAAAGGGAAGAAGCCCGATAACGAAGAGCCCAAAGGGAAGAAGCCCGATAACGAAGGGCCCAAAGAGAAGGAGCTCGATAACGAAGAGCCCAGAGGGAAGAAGCCCGATAACGAAGAGCCCAAAGGGAAGAAGCCCGATAACGAAGGGCCCAAAGGAAAGGAGCCCGATAACGAAGGGCCCAAAGGAAAGGAGCCCGATAACGAAGAGCCCAGAGGGAAGAAGCCCGATAACGAAGAGCCCAAAGGGAAGAAGCCCGATAACGAAGGGCCCAAAGAGAAGGAGCTCGATAACGAAGAGCCCAAAGGGAAGGAGCCCGATAACGAAGAGCCCAAAGGGAAGGAGCCCGATAACGAAGGGCCCAAAGGGAAGGAGCCCGATAACGAAGAGCCCAAAGAGAAGGAGCTCGATAACGAAGAGCCCAAAGGGAAGGAGCCCGATAACGAAGAACCCAAAGGGAAGGAGCCCGATAACGAAGAGGCTAATAAAATAGAACTCGGGGAAGGAGCCCGGAGAAGGACCCCGAACACACATGTACACACAACAACACACACCAACAGACAAACTAAACCGTGTGGATGACTTGACAGACTGAGAGCTGATTAGTATTCGGTGTGTGCTTGTGTGACTGTTAGTATCAGCTCCATCTCTGTGACAGCAGGTCAGGTGACACAAGCAGGAGCTTCTGATTGGACTGTCCAAAGTTCTCACACACACACACGCACTGAGGAGAAGCTGACAGACGGACGGAGAGAGAAGAGAGAAGAAGAATAAAGAGGTTAGTAGATAGAGAGAGAAGAATAAAGAGGTTAGTAGATAAAGAGAAGAACAATAAAGAGGTTAGTAGATAGAGAGAGAAGAAGAATAAAGAGGTTAGTAGATAAAGAGAAGAAGAATAAAGAGGTTAGTAGATAGAGAGAGAAGAAGAATAAAGAGGTTAGTAGATAGAGACCATGTCTGTTATAAACACTTAAAGGTTTAAAGTCTCTGTTCCAGCTGATCAATAACAGGACACGTTAACATGAGAAGCTCAACTGAAGAAGTAGAAGTCAGACCAGACAGCGTCACTGTGTCTGTTTACTGAGCTGTTAATAAAGTTAAGCAGATCAAACAACACGCTGACCTCTGACCCCTGTGAGGAACCAATCAGTGAGCTCCGCTGGAACCCAAAACCTTCATTCAGAACACCTGACGTCTGCTGCTCTGATACTTATTGATCGGATCAGTTTGTTACTGTCTGCAGGTCAACATGGACGCCATCAGGTGTCGTCTGACTCAGGTGAGCCTCAGGCCCGATGTACCCTAACCTACCAATAACCAGTTAATAATAATAATATATATAATAATGAATATATATAATAATAATAAATATATATAATAATAATATATATAATGATAACTATACTGATGATGATGCATTCTAACATCACGCTATGAACTGTGGGTAATAAAGTGAGCATGAAAGAGTCCTCGAGGTCTTGACCCTTTGACATCGGGACAAGCTCCTCCCCCTCCTACCTGTAACCGTGGTTACGCCTCTCTCTCTCTGCCCAGTCTTCCTCAGTGGGCGCGGCCGAGGATGAGGAGGTGGGAGGAGCTCCGAGGGTGGAGATGAGCTTTGTGACATCAGAAGAGGAGGAGGAGGCGGAGCCCAGCAGTGACATCACAGCATTGGTGCGGCGGTATCACCATGGTTACAAGAAAGCCGGCTTGTTCCTGTGTGTGTGCGTCGTCATCGTCTTCACCACCGGTACACACACACACACACACCTCCACTGATTAGTTAGATCATGTGATTAAAGTGGGCGTGGTCTCTCTCTCTCAGCGTTCCTATTGGCCTACGCAGTGTTTGGTGGCCGGTACCACTGCTCCCTGGTGGGGGGGGGGGAGGATGAGGAGCAGGGAGGCGGGGCTAAGCCACCTGCCGAGGGAGGGGCGGGGCTTTACCTGGGCGAGCTGAGGCTGATGATGAGGAGGCTGCTGCAGGATGAAGATATCCACAACACAGTCAGGTGGTGATTATAAGATGAATGTGCTCTCAGTTCAGGCAGACGGGATCACCAGGAGCTGGTCTGGGATCCGTCCCTCTCTTTTACTTCCTGTTTGTGTTTGTGGCCATCAGTCGAGTCAGCAGAGCCAATCATCCTCCAGGTTCCTCAGACGGGACGTCTCTGGCGTCAGAGGTCCTCCGTCGCTTCAGACTGCTGCAGATGGATCACACCTGGACCGAGTCTCTGTACGCCACGCTGCAGTTCCCCCACAGGTGAGTAGATGGTGCGGACGCCTCTTCAGAGGTTAGAGAGTGTGTTTGTGTGTTTGTTTATTTGTTTGTTTGTGTGTGCAGGTCTCAGAGGAGCTCTCTGTGGCTGGTGGACTCTGCAGGACTGATCTCAGAGCAGATCCCCCTGAACCCGTCTGACTACTGTCCATACAGCGCCACAGGAAGTACCACGGTGAGACAGGAAGACGGGATGTCTTTGTCACCATGGTAACCACAAACCCAGGTGTCCTGACCTGCCATGTCTCTCTGTAGGGGGGCGTGGTCTACGCCAACTACGGCCGCCCGGAGGACTTTAAGTGGCTGGAGAGCGCCGGTGTGTCCGTGGTTGGCTTTGTGGTGGTGATGCGTGTCGGGGGCGGGGTCAGTTTCGCTGAGAAGGTCTGGTTGGCCGAGAGGAGCGGAGCGGGCGGAGCTTTGATCTACCCCGACCCCGCCGACCTGCCGCAGGACCCCCGACGACTCGGACTGAACCCGCACACCGCCGTGTCTGAACACGTAATGCACACACATTCAGAGAAACACACACAGGTGTTCCATGTCTGGCTGCTCCCGACCAATCAGCATCCCCCTCTGTGTCGTCCAATCACAGGTCCACCTGGGGTCAGGTGACCCCTTCACCCCCGGCTTCCCGTCCTTCAATCACACTCAGTTCCCACCCATCCAGTCCTCCGGCCTGCCTCTCATCCCAGTGCTGCCAATCAGTGCCACCGTGGCTGCCAAGCTGCTCAGGTAAGCCACGCCCCCCCAGGTTACCTGCTCAGGTAAGCCCCGCCCCCTCAGGTTACCTGCTCAGGTGTTGCCATGACCTCACTGCGTGTCCTTTGTGTCTCAGCCAGCTGGCAGGTGCGTCCTGTCCTCCGTCGTGGCGTGGTCGGCTGCCGTACGTGCGCTGCGTGGTCGGTCCGGAGTTCAGCTCCGGTCGCAGAGTCACGATGTCAGTCCACAACGTGATGACGCCGGTCCTGCTGAACAACATCTTCTCGTCTCTGGAGGGCCGGGGGGAGCCAGGTACAGGTCTGTAGTCTGGATCTCCATGAACCGGAGACTCTCTAATGAAGATCTCTCTCTCTGTCAGACCACTACATCATCCTGGGAGCTCAGAGGGACTCGCTGGGTCCAGGAGCCGTGACGTCTGGAGTTGGAACGGCGATCCTCCTGGAGCTGGCTCGGACTTTCTCCGCCATGGTGAAGAACGGTAAGACTCACCTGGAGACAGGTGTGTGCTCACTGTGTAGGTGAGGTGTTGCTCTGTGGTCAACGTGTCTGTGTGTGTTTGCAGGTTTCAGTCCCAGACGGAGTCTGCTGTTCGTCAGCTGGGACGCTGGAGATTTTGGGAACGTCGGAGCCACTGAATGGCTGGAGGTTCGTCCAATCAGAAGTGTGTACTCAGTCCTCTGCCTGTCACCAGTTGTGGTTGCCATAGTAACCAGTGACCTCTCTGTGCCAGGGTTACCTGTCCATGCTCCACCTGAAGGCTGTGGCCTACTTCAGTCTGGACCAGGCTATCATGGGTAACGGCTCCCAGCCAATCACAGGAGACCTTGTTTAAACTGCCAATCAGCTGATCAGATGCAGTAAAGTAGTGTGTGTCTGCAGGTGATGACGTCCTGTCGGCCTACACCAGTCCTCTGCTGGTGGACCTGCTGGACGCCGCCATCAGACAGGTGTGTGTGTGTGTTTCAGTGCTGCTTTAATGACATCATGTTTCCTCCTGTGGAGCTATTTTCCTTAAACAGCATCCTATTGAGTTGGAACCACTTGTCCACTGTTGTTGATCATATGTCAATTTCATGAAAACAAGTCCTTTAGAAGGGTTTTCTGGGGACCAACAACAACCCACATGAGTCTAGGACTGTGAAGGAAACATTCCCTCATGGTCGTTGCTTGAAAATCTAAATCTGACATTTGTTTTGGGGGGTCATGGAGGCCAAATGGTAAAAATTGTCCCAAATGGCAGAGGGACAATTGGGACAATTTCTTATTATTTTTTCATATTGTTAATGAAGATAGATTAATGAAAACTTTTCCAATTCAAAGATACGCTCATAGAGATCAACTGACCAACATCCATAGCTGCAAGTTAAAGTCCCCAAAACAGGCAAAAAAGGTCAAAATGTCACCATTTTCCCTTATTCATCGTGATTGTTTGACACATGTAAAAATGGTCACAACATGTGACGGGATGTGGTGAAGCTGTTTGATCCAGATGTTTCCCGGGTGTTGATGTGTGAAAAGGTGGAGCATCCGAAACATGCAGGTCAGAGCATCTACAGCCAGGCGGAGCGAGAGGGAGGCAGCTGGAGGATGTGAGACACACGACGACATCATCGATATCTGCAAATCAATTTAAAATCAAGATGTAGAGAACATTGATTCATGAAGTGAACTCTCCTCCTCAGTATCAAGCCCTTGTTTCTGAACAGCGGAGCGTACAGTTTCACAGCGTTTGCAGGAGTTCCAGCGATGGAGCTCAGATTTACTGAGGTAAGCCGTGTTCTTTAACTCACCACGCCGCCGCGTACAACGAGTACTCGTCACCGGTTTGTGTGTGATCCGTCTGTCCGTCCGTCCGTCCAGGAGCGAGCGTACCCGTTCATCAACACGCCGCTGGACAGCGCCTCCCGCCTGCAGGAGGTGCTGGGTGGTCGTCTGGGGGTGACGGGGCGGAGCTTAGGGGAGCTGGTGGGGGAGATGGTGCTGCGATTGGCCCACAACAGCATTCTGCCGCTACGCATCACTTCCTACGCTCACACGGTGCTGCAGCTCAGCGCTCAGCTCAACAAGCACTCTGCTGAGCTGCAGGTAGGCGGTCCTATATGTGTATATATATATATATATATATATATATGTATACACATGAAGTATCTATTATAGGGTCCTAACAACATGTCTGTCTTCAGTCCAGAGGTTTGTCTCCTCACTGGGTTTTCAGCGCCAGAGGAGATTACAGCCGAGCAGCCGAGACGCTGCAGAGAGCCATCGAGTACAGCGACCTGCACAACCCGACCGCCGCTCGCTACTACAACACACGCATCATGAGGGTACAAGTACTACAACACACGCATCATGAGGGTACAAGTACTACAACACACGCATCATGAGGGTACAAGTACTACAACACGCATCATGAGGGTACAAGTACTACAACAYGCATCATGAGGGTACAAGTACTGCAAACACTAGTACTACAACACGCATCATGAGGGTACAAGTACTACAAACACTAGTCCTACAACACACGCATCATGAGGGTACAAGTACTACAACACGCATCATGAGGGTACAAGTACTACAAACACTAGTACTACAACACACGCATCATGAGGGTACAAGTACTACAAACACTGGTAATGATACTGCTCTGTGTCCCCTGTGTATACAGGTGGAGTACTACTTCCTGTCTCAGTATGTGTCCGTGGTAGAGACGCCGTTCCGTCATGTGATCCACGGTCGTGGTGACCTCACTCTGAGCGCGCTCAGTGAGCACCTGAGCCTCCTGACCTCTGACCCCGAACGCTTCGACGACAAATGCTTCAGACGACAACTCGCCTTCTTCACCTGGACGCTACAGGGGGCCGCCAACGCCCTGAGGGGGGACGTGTACTCTACACACACTCTACTGCACACTACTACACACTAGTACACACTACTACCCAACACACACTCTACTGCACACTACTACACACTAGTACACACTACTACACAACACACACTCTACTGCACACTACTACACACTAGTACACACTACTACAGGGGGCCGCCAACGCCCTGAGGGGGGACGTGTACTCTACACACACTCTACTACACACTAGTACACACTACTACACGACACACACTCTACTGCACACTACTACACAACACACACTCTACTGCACACTACTACACACTAGTACACAACACACACTCTACTGCACACTACACACTAGTATACACTAGTACACACTACTACACTAGTACACGATACTGCACACTACTACACACTACTGCACACTACTGCACACTAGTACACACTAGTACACAACACACACACTACTACACACTAGTACACAACACACACACTAGTACACACTAGTACACAACAGACACACTACTACACACTAGTACACACTGATACACACTAGTACACATTGATACACACTAGTACTTCCTAACACTGATGAAGACTAGATGATGACATCACTCTGTCGTTATTTAAAGTCATTGATTGTATCAACAGATTTGTAAAAATACTTAAATATTAAATATTTAATTTACTCCTAAAGCATTTCTCTTTGATCTCTTTGACCTTTGACCTTCAGTCAGACAGGAAGTTCAGTATGAGTGACATCATCAGGAGCTGTAAGAATCGCTCTTTGAGAACCTGACAGGAACATGAGACACACCTGTGAGCTGAGGAACTCACTAAAGCTGCATGGAGGAGAGCAACGAGAGGAGTGAGAGCTTTAATGGAGGAGAACAACGAGAGGAGAGAGAGCTCTAATGGAGAACAACAAGAGGAGAGAGAGATCTAATGGAGGAGAACAACGAGAGGAGTGAGAGCTTTAATGGAGGAGAACGAGAGGAGTGAGAGCTTTAATGGAGGAGAACAACGAGAGGAGAGAGAGCTCTAATGGAGGAGAACAACGAGAGGAGAGAGAGCTTTAATGGAGGAGAACAACGAGAGGAGAGAGAACTTTAATGGAAGAGAACAACGAGAGGAGGGAGAGCTCTAATGGAGGAGAACGAGAGGAGAGAGAGCTTTAATGGAGGAGAACAACGAGAGGAGAGAGAGCTCTAATGGAGAACAACGAGAGGAGAGAGAGCTTTAATAGAGAACAACGAGAGGAGAGAGAGCTTTAATGGAGGAGAACAACGAGAGGAGAGAGAGCTTTAATGGAGGAGAACATCGAGAGGAGAGAGAGCTTTAATGGAGGAGAACAACGAGATGAGAGAGAGCTTTAATGGAGTCATTGAAGTATGATTCAGTTTCTGGAGCCGTTACGCTCAAAATAAGAAAAGTTGAAGAAGACTGAAGTCAATCGGAGCAGCAAGGATCCATAAACCGGCTGGACACTCTGAGCTTTCTGGGAGGACCAGCCTTGCTGGAGGAGTGCTGATCCCGGAGCAGGAGGTGAACAAGGACTCATGTTCCTACAGCCTGGACCAGCATGAGGCTCCTTAACTTCAGGGATTCATCAAGATACGTCCCTTTAACTGCAACTCTCCAGACTTCTTCTTCTGCTAGAAAGAACACTCACACGCTGGAATAAACTGAACTCAAATAAAATGAACTGCCATATATTCCCTTAGCTCTGGAATGGAACTACAACCCCCAACACTCACACACACACACAAACACACACACTCACTCACTCACACACACACTCACACCTCATCACTAACACATAAACTATTGACATTCTTGGAGTCCTCATTCATTTATTACTCAATGAACATTAGATTAGATTAGATTTGTGTATCTGGACTCGGTCATGGGTTTTATTTGATTTAATAAACTTTTTTTGTGTTTAATTCTGTATTTGAGAAGAAACTCCGTTTGATCTGATTCATGATGTGTGTGTAAAATACACGTGACTTCAATGAAACGCGTTCATTGGCTGAGTTTTGCTCACGTTGCATGTAGTAGTCGGGTTAGTTCTCTTAGTGTTCACAGTGATATCCGTTTATTAAATTGACGGATAGCATTTCCATTATTCTCCGGTCTGGAGCCCAACGTGTCTTTGAATAGTTGTGAGGACAGCAGCATTTAAAATCAATTCTTTGTTGGACAGGAAGCCAGTGCAGAGACCTCAGACCAGGACTGATGTGATCCTCTCTCCTGGTCTCAGTGAGGACTCGAGCTGCAGCGTTGTGACTGACTTGTTACAGAGACCTGTGAACACTCCGTTACAGACGTCCAGTCTGCTGGAGAGGAATGCATGGACAAGTTTGACCTGTTGAGACATTAGTCCTCTAGTCCTCTAGTCCTCGATGTGTTCTTCAGGTGACAGGAGGCTGGTTCTGTAATAGTCTTGATGAGGCTGTTCAGGTTCAGGTCTGAATCCAGAACTACAGGTTTCTGGCTTGTTTGTAGTTTTTAACGTCAGTGATTGAAGCTGAGCGCTGACTTTCAGTTGCTCGTCCTGACTGAAGACATCAGAACTGTTGTTTACGGCCAAGACGTTCCGCTGTTTCACTTATTTCGCTTTAAAGATGTGAGGTTTGATATTGTTCTATAATGTTTCATTGTTGTGGAGTCTAAACTAGCCTTCTTTAGGAGTGTTTAATAACCTGAGACACCTGAGAGAAGGGATGTCATGCAGTTTGAAACATCTTATAAAAAGTGTGTTGGTAGAACATCCAAGCAGCAGGAGGATGACTTCACATGTTGTGTCATGTCTTCCAGGCTTCTACGGTCAATTGAATGAAACTGTGTCATGATGTTTGAATGGATGCTATTCAGAGATGGAGACAACACACATCCTGTGGCTGATGTGGAGGCACTGACTGCTTGACTGCTTGACTGACTGACTGGAGCTCAGCAGCTACTGACTCTGGAGGGTTTGTTAGCCTGTCAACGGTAGCCAATGAGACGCATGTGTTGTTATTGTTTCTGGTTATGACGTCAGAGAAGAAGGACTGACTTGTCACACTGAACCTGGAGATTTGTTTTTCTCCTCCTGCGCTCAGCTTTCCGACACTCGTTTCTCTCTTCTGACCAGCGAAGCATCTCTCCAAGGAGGTCTTTGCTCAAGGAGACAACCTTCACTTTAGTGGGTTCAGTGGGTTCAATAACATCTTTAACTTTAGAATGAAGTTTTTCTAAAGCTCATTGGCTGAGGTGCAGAGAGGGCTGGTGTGGAGCAGAACCTCTGAATAAACACTTCTCTGGTGTTTTCAGAGAACCTCGGTTTGGACTTTTGTGTGTAATACCGTGTTCATTACACGCGTCCATCGCGCCGCCGGTCTCGCGGGGACTATTTGTGTTCATTCGCGCTGGAGAGGGGGCGTGGCTTATCGCCCTGAAAGCCGTTCAACTGTCCGCCATTAACCATGGAAAAATAACCTCCATTTCTGCTTAGTACGTGTTGTGGAAGTCACAGATATCCCGGGAAACTAAACGCCGTCATGTCTGGTTCATAACATTGTCCAGAGGAGCTCTGTGGATTGTATCGAGCTGTATTCACTGTGTCTAGTGAGCCACACGTCGCTGTTTAGTTTGGTCTCTGTTGATATGAGGTATCATAGAGCTCTGGGTGAACACAGACGGCTACAGGATTTATTTCCTGATTCAACAACGGCAGGACGTCACTGATGACAGGGGGAGCATCTCAACGCTGATAGGCTATCACGCCACAGCGTCACGCGAATATTTCGCAGAAGTTGAAAAATTTCACCTCGCCCGATTTCACCTTCGCGTCCATCGCGTGATGATTAGGTCCAGAGTGTGCCTCTGTTGTGGGGGGGTCCTGTCACATGCTGACGAGTGAGTTATAATTATGAGATAGTAAATTATAATATAATATTAAGAGTCTTTCTGTGAAACAGCTTCCATACCATGCTACTGTTTAGCTCAGACGCACTAAACTATCTCATTGATCTATAGTCTTAAAACCACAACCCTCCGTCCCACTAGAGGTCTGTGTCCTGCTGCTGTCTTCTGTCTTTCAGGTTGTGGATCAGCAGCTAACGAGCCCACCTGAACCAGCATCAGCCCCTCTCCTCTCTGACTCTTGATTGGTTGACGTGGCTGCTTATTTGTCTGTTTGTTTAGTTATTTGTTCTTAAATAAAAGTATATTTAGGACTTTTCCCACTCATCTTGTCTCCCTTTTGTTACAACCGTGGAGCCGAGTTGTGACAGTTTGAAACCAAAACTGTATATATATACTGTGTGTGTGTATATATATATATATATATATATATATATATATATATATATATATATGTATATGTATATATATATATATGTATATGTATATATATATATATATGTGTTGTTGGTCTGAGGAGTACTCTGAGTTGTTGGAGCTGCTTGTTTGTCAGATTACAGTTGGATGCTGTTGGTCTGAGCCTTGAAGGCTTCACTGAGGGAGGCGATGGTTTCTGGTGTTTCTGCTACCTCATGTTTTAGTGATGATGGTTTTCATGATGAGTCATGTTCTAGAGGTTTCTGGGTAACTCTGGACAGCCTGTTGGGGGTCTGGGTGTTGGACCAGAGGTACCTTACAGGTGTTAAACCTGAAAAACTGAAGACATAGTAAGCACGTCGCTAGTTAAAGGCGGGACGTGGTGAACTGCTCGTTGTGACAGACAAACTGTTAGCTTAGCATAAAGCGCTATGGTTCATGCCTTGGTTGGTGTGAGCTGATGTTTAATGGAGGTGATGACTCCTCCTCTCCACTAGAGGGCTCTGTCTGCTGTCCAGACCTGATCCCGGTGTGGTCCCAGATATAAAGACTCACCATCTGATTTCACCATCTGACCATCTTATTTATTTAGTTTAGTTCATGTTCATGTTCTTTAAATCACTTTAAACTCGTCTTCCTGTTGAACTCTGCTGCCCTCTAGTGGTTAAATCATGTAATGTTTATGACTCATTAAATGATGTAACAGACTTCCTGACACGAGCAACTGCTGATACTCAAAGTCCCAGAATGCACTGCAACAGCTTCCTCCTCCTCTAATGACCAATCAGAGC